AAAGTAATACATATATATATATATATATATATATATGTAGTTCCTGCTGCAACGGATGAAACCGACCCAGGGAAACGTGATAGATTTGATTCAGGAAGCGAAGAAAAGCTTTGCCGGTTTTCTCCTAATTGTTGGCTCACTCCCCTTTTCTGCTTTTTCCACCAAATCTCGCTCGGTACGTCCTGCTTCCTGTTTCCAGTTTCCTGACCGGATATTCAAAAGGCTCACTACCAATCATTAGCACAATAATATCCTAAAATATACCATTTCCTGGTATTTTTTTTTCTCCGTTTATACTCCGCCCCTCCTTCCGACTTACCAGACGCCTTAATGGAGATTATTTTAGTGCATTCTTTGTCCTTTTTGCGTGGCTTCAGTCTCTCTTCAGTCTATCATTTGACAGTTTCCTCACTTTTTTATTTAAAAATTTGCATCTCTTAAATGACAGATTTCTAATCGATTTATAATATAACGAATAAATATTTGATTCGAATATTTTCCATATAATTTATCAAAAGTCGCATAAAAACTTGAGTGGTAACGGACATTATATTTATATTTGTAGAGGAATGAAAAAGAGTGAAGCAGTGGAATATATGAAATGCGCATAATTTGAAACTACCCTGATCTAACTTCAGCAGATATCCAGGACTATGGATATTTTTGTATCAGTACAGTTTCCTGTAGGACAATGCCGTAAATTCGAATAGCTAACTTGTCATTGCTGCTTAGAATTATGTAAAAAATTGTGAAAAATCCCGAATTCGAAATGACGATCAGTAATGAATCTAATAATGCACAATGCGAATTATTTACTTCAGTATATCACTTGCTCATCACCGATCACTATCTACTTATATTTCACTTGATTTCTGTATCAGTCAAAGGTTTTCATTACAATAGATATTTTTCAAATTAGCTGACTGTCATTTCCTTTCTTTCATTTCAATCAGAATTACCGTTTGTTTAAAGCTGTACTTAATTGTAGGTCAGAATGAGAACAGATCCGGTGTACAACTGGAAGCACCCACAGCTATCTTAACGGACTTGCAGCATAATTTTATTTATCCAGGTTTGCTCTTTTTTTTTATCATGCGAATCTGAAATTATAAATAACGAATGAATAATATTTTCGAATGATATTCATTTGAAAACTTCTGTACTTTTCAGTAGAACTTGTCATCTATTGGTTATTAGTCGCTGGTTTGTTTGACCACTGAAATAATCATACTGTAGAATAGTAACTTGTAAATGTTAACAAGGAAAATTCCGTGATGAAATCAATGCATTTACATCCTTTTTTTTTAAAGGTTTAATGGAATTGCTGAAGATACCTAATTTTAAATCTTAGGTTTTCAAGAGTGTAACTCATTATGGCTAAGCTTCGCAAACGAAGATTTGGGAAGGAAGGGTTCTACCAACGCTTACTGCAAATACTGCAAATATGGGTGTATCCCTTCAGCCTTGCACAGTGAATTTTTTAGGTGCGACACAGCGTGTTGCGAAACTGGTCCATCTTTCATCCTAAGGTTCATCTGCCAGGGCACAGCGAGCTAGAACAGTGATACTGAAGTCCTTAGGACGTAGGTTTTGTTAGAGTATGAAAAGGCATATGGCAAAATCAAAGTTTTGTAGAATGATTTGATTTAATAAATTAAAATGCGTCTCACCAATTAGATAAGCTTGGAATTTTAGGCATCCACTCATCGATTCATTTAGTTATTAGGGGCTACAGTTACTTTGATTTTAGACTTTTTATGGAGTCTTCCGTTATATTAATCTTGTTAATAATTTTCTAAAACGTATTGAAACTGACATTAGTTTGTCATAAGATCAGAATTTACTTGCGTTTCGATGTTTAAAACTTGATGACTTAATCACTAAATTAACGTTAAATTTGGTTGATTATGATTCTCCGTGTATTAGTTGTCCATTCATATAACATAAATAACTTGAAAAGATCCGGAAATTGATATCCGGGATTTTTTGAAAATGGAATTATTACAGGAAGTGCTAGTTTTTTTCTCTTTCTTTGGTGATAGCTCCCTCAGGAGCTGAGCATTTTCCTTGACTTTTGATTTGTTCTTCCTTCATCTGAGATGTTGCACCAAAACACTCTGAAATACAAAATTAACACGTTTAGGAACACTTCAAACTATTACACTTTTGAACGTACTGGAACAGCAATTGTTAAATTACTTAAATTTAGCGAAAATCTGATGAATTTATCAAGTCATTCGTAAAATTTTCACTGATATAAAGGAAGTAAGTGTTTAGTGAGCTAAGGCAGTAATACTACTAGTTAAGTCGATAGTTACCGTATCAGTAGTGTGACAACATCTGCATAACAGCAACGTTCATCGATGCGAACGAATTAATGACGACATAGGGAGTTGCTAGCAGACAGAAATGCTTTCTTTTTCTTGTTAGCTGACTGATATTTCTTCCTTGCTGCCATTATTTTATCAGTTATAAATAACACTTGTGTGATATTTCCAATCTGTGGAAATATCCAAATCTCAGCACAGACTTTTGTTACATAATCATGATTATGTATTCTCTCAGACGAATCTTACGAGTACGTGATGTAGACGTCTGGGAAATCCTAACAACATTAGTTGTCGTTAATTTAAAAAAGATTAATTAACTATCTACAAGCTAACGTGTGTAAACTTTCCTGAATCTACATGCTAACGAATTGCAGTATTTCGAATAGTTTTTTCTTTTCCTTTCGTTTACGACAAAATTTTCGATATATCAGATAGAGCACCTGAATTCTCAACTGCTGAATAGGTTTTTCGTCTCATTTGTTTCGTTAGGATTGAAATGTATGTAAATTTTGGGGTATGGAAAGTTGTCCAGATTGGCTGTAGAACGGTATCCAGCTGAGTTTGCACATCAAAGCTAATTGCAATAAAGATTGCTCCAGGTAAGCTTCATTATGAAAGATCGAAGGTGAGTGGACTTGCTGAGAGAGCATCAGTCTTGGTCTGCTTAAATGCTCCTTTTGTTGGGCCCTTTCATTTTCAGCTCCTGTAATGACACATCCATTAAGCGCATAACACATTTCTATTGCTTATTAATGCATCAATCAAATCTTACTGCCAATACTACCATACACTGTTTATGAATGGGATTTCAGGGATCTCACTTTAATCATTTCATTAAATTCAAATTTGTCATACTTTCGAATTGTGCTAGTGCTTCATTTCATGCAACTTCAGAGAATGTTCAAAAGATATATTTTATTTCCGCTTTAGTACTCGCTATGCTTACACTCTATGGCATTTTACGTTTTTCGAACTGTATTATTTAATTAATAGATCATGTGGAAAACCACAGATCTGCAATGATAGGCCACTATACCATTACAGAGAGCACTGCAAAAAATCTAATGGTTTCCATAAAGTCGGTACGGCCAAATAATAGTGGTGAAATTTTTGCAGGCTTTAAAAAGCTCGAAATAAATTGGCAAATCTATTTTCAAGTATTTGATTCTTAAAGATTTCATTCGGCAGTATAGCAATTCTACAACATAGCAGCGAGTTACTACTGTAGTTTGTGATTAGATTTGGAATCTGTTTCAAAACTCCAAAGTTTTTGCAACTTGAAGTTGCAGGAAGTGGTCAAATACAACTGTGGCAATTCCTCCTTGAGTTACTTTCTGATACACATAGCAATGCGCACTGTATCACTTGGGAGGGCCAAAATGGTGAATTCAAACTGTTAGATCCAGATGAAGTGGCTAGAAAATGGGGCGAAAGGAAAAGGTTTGTTACAGAAAATACAAATCCTAGTTTTCTTCTACACAGTTCTGTTGAGGTAAGTTAACTCTTTGTCGTTGTTTTCATTTAATTTGAAATCTGAAAATTTCAAGAATTTAATTAAGAATACCAAAAATTTCATAGGCATGCAATATTTTGTTGCTTTTCCAGTAAACCAAATATGAACTATGATAAGCTTAGCCGTGCTTTGCGATATTACTACGATAAAAACATCATGACAAAGGTTACAGCATCAATTTTTTCACACTGATTTAAAAAATTTTTCAATTTTATCAAGTACCAATTAAGTTTAAAACATCTATTTATTATGCTTTTCCGAATATGCTCACCATTAGTCTATATGAAATGCTTTTTTGTTCTCCTAGAAAATTTTACTTGCCGAAAAAGCAAATGATCACCAATTCTTGCAAATTAATCTCAAAACCACCAATGCGGTGTGATCCTTAACCGATTTCCTTCACAGCATTATTGGAAAGCAACGCAAGCCATATCTAGCTATTTCAAGTCTTAGTTTAGCTCTATCTTAGTTTAGCTCAATAATTACCGACCAATCATTTATGCTACATAAATGTACAATCCTGTTAGGAGCAGCTAAATTCTTTTCTTCGAAATGCAAAAATTAAAAAATATACCAATCAAGTTCCATATTTCGATTTTTTAATTATGGTCAAAATAATTATTTCAGGTTCACGGAAAACGTTATGCCTACAGATTTGATTTCAACAGATTGGCACAGTCTTGCCAAAGCAACTGCAGTGGTGAATTGGTGTCAGCAGTTGCAACATCGGCACAGCAATATCGATGTATAGCATTTTTTTCATTACTAAATAATAAAGGCTGATCTTCGAATGTTACCCGTAACTCCAACAGTACCGAAGTAATACAGATCAAAGAAATAAAATATTTCTGTGGGAGTGTTTTATTAAGAAATTCCGGAAATCATAAATTACGATACTGAAAACACTTGCTAAGAAGACCACAAAACTCTTAATACCTTAGTATCACAGTATCTTGGGGACTGCAAGAACTGTGTGCCAAGGGTGTTTTTTAGATCGTATCACCAAATTTGCCGGTTGGAAGATCATTAGAATTACGTAAATGACAGTCCAAAATTTCTAGCAAGTTTTTGAATGATGGTAGCTGTTTAATTTTTAGGGTTCGATGTTCATTCGTTGTAACTGTCACTCAAAAGCATCTCTCAACTTAGTTTTCAAATATTTTTGGACTTCTTAAATAATTAATTAGATCCGATTCCAGCTTCACTGACAAGTTATCATCCTCCTCAATTCCTGTTTCAACATTATCATCACGCGATGCCGAAAATGCGTTCTGCTGGTGTGTCGTATGCGCCTTTCATCCAACCAGTAACTTCAGATAAGCGGTCCGCACATTTGATGCGACCGTACTGGCCTGGAACGATTTCAACCGGAAGCTGTGGGTATACATCGACAGGAGGTTATTGTGGAACACAGCCAAGGTCTTTTAGCAATTTTTTGCCGTGATGTATGAATATAGCCTGAATTGAATAAAAATTTCGTCCACCTGAATACCTGAATGTCATGGATCTTTTGGAAATCACTTCACAAGGTAAGTGTGTCATCACATTAGGAATGAATTCTAAAGAATACGCAAGCTTAATATGTATCAGTATACATTCAATATCAGAATAAAGTGTGGGTTCTTCGCAAAATCCAGTCCAAATGACTTAGAACCGGAGAAGATACCACCGGGAATGAGTTTATGGCTTCGGACTAGAAGTGACTGACTCTCACTACATTCGAATCTGTATGATATCAATGGGTCAAAAGTTGCTCGAGCTTTTTGGATTATTTATATCTGCATAAATAAAATACTTAAACTCATCGTTGATGTCACTTGCTTTAATTGGTCATTTCGGCCATTTATTACTTAATGGTTTCCCAACACTTATTTCTATATCTTAAAACGTATACAACGTGAGCTGTCAATGATGATACACTGGAATGTACGGGATAGGGCCAAATGGAATGTACGGGATCTGTAACGATACTCTTCTCAGTGATCAATCATAAGGATCGCTTGACTCAGCAAAAATTTTAGAAAACAAGCAGCTGACTTTGTTTTCACTAATTTTCCCGATATAATAATGGGCGATGTAAACAAACAGACAGACAGACTGACGCGAAAACAGCAAGCATTATAGGTTGACTGCATGTATGTATGTGTGTGTGTGTGTGTGTGTGTGTGTGTGTGTGTGTATATGTGTGTCTGTGTAAGGTGATCTTTGGACTGTAAAAATGCATAAAAGGCAAAATCCACTTTGTGACTTGTATGGAAACTTTAAATAGATCCACCAAATGGAAGACAAAATAACAAAGCGGACAATAAACAACAGAGTTTCCATCAGTTGCAGTTGTCGTACGACTGTTACACTACTAGCTGCTGAAGACTAAAGTTTGATCAAAATTTTCACAAATATATTGGTAGTGAGTGGGTAACTTAGAAATTTGCAAACAGTGACAGCCATGATGCGAACAGAGGAAGAATGGTTTCTAACCATTTGTTTGTCCGTCGGCGACCTGATGACAGTGCTACGAAACAAACAATATTTATGCAATTTTGACAGTTCTGCCGACTTTCCCTCCTTCAATCTTACTAATCCTACTAATTTCAGTAATTTCCACAATCTAAGCAAGATTTGCAGTGATCGCAAGGCGTATGGTGGTATAAATTCAGAGAGACTGGGTTGTAAAACAATGATAAGGTAGCGATTTTCATTGACGCTGGAAATCCTCGAAAGAAATTGCAATTTTGAAAAATTCATGGACCTCATTAAATATGCTCGTGAATCACCTTTAAGATATTGTTTAAGTTACAAAATTTTGGAATAACGTTCCGTGAAAGTGGGCAAACTAAATCTAGTCCAAGACAGAGCAAAGAAATGTCATGAATTGGGGCATTGGGGCACAAACTGCTAGGGTGATCTGGTTGTCCATTAGTTGAACCTGCAGTGAAATCTGGTTTTCTTCGGCATCGTTGTTACTGTAACCTATGAGGTGGCTTACTCTAAGTACACCTTGCATATCCTCTAACTTTAGTAAGTGATAAAGTAGTGCAGTACTGGTCGTTTTTACTTATTCAAAGGTCAACAATTGCACATGGTGGAAATTCTGGAGAGAAATGCCGTACCAAGTAAAATTTTATGGGCGTGGTATTAGTATGTCGCACATGACGTGGCTACACCTAAGCATTCCTATGACCTCCGAATAGAAAGTCGTGGATTAAACACTGTGTTAAGCTTCAAATACAAAAACTACGCAAGTGTGGAATTTTACACTGTTGTACATTTATATCTTTTGTATATGCAAGTGTGCATACGTGCGTTTGTTTGTGCTGCATTTGTATATATATATATATATATATATATATATATATATATTTATATAATGTGTGTGTGTGTGTGTGTGTGTGTGT